CTTATCTCAGAAATGCCACAGTCACCTCTGTCGGGGACCGGGACTCAGTTCAGTCTGGAAACCGAAGTGCCTATGGGATCATTGCAGCTGCTGGTAAGATAAACAGGTCCTCCCACCCCCGGGACTTGGAGCAGCTGCTCCTGGGAGCCGGCAGGCTGCAGAACCCCCTTTCCAGTGTGTTAGGAGCTTGGTGGGTGTGAGCCTCCTGCCACTCCCTCCCCTCACCCACTCCTGTCTTTCTGTCCCCCACAGTGGTGCTAAGTGTAGGTCTGGCCGCCGCCATCCTCTTCATGTCACGGCTCTGTGCCCAGGGACGCCTGTTCCCGCTGGGGCTGCTGCTGTCTGTGAAGGGGTCTCTGCAGTCAGAGAGGACGGCCGCAGTTCTCTGAGGATGACTTCTTGCCGCCACATCACATGGTCCCGAGTATGGCAGGTATGGGGACCCACGCGTGGCTGTTGGCACACCAGCCCCCAGACCTGGGTTCTTCTGGCCACGTGGCGCCGAGTACCTGAGCTCCTGCAGATGCGATCGTGGAGGCTGGGAGTGTCCAGACCCTCCCCTGGACTCGAGGAGCCTGGATGGGGAACGTGCCACAACCAGAACCGAGGGGCTGGCCCTAGGTCATTCCCGGGGTGGCCCCCCTGCTCAGATACTGCTGTTGCCCCCTCCTGAGGGTGGTGATTAAAGTTACTTCACGTCCTCTGCCTGCCTCTGGGCCTCTGTCTCCCTCTGCCTGGGCAGCCTGGGGGCTCTGCTGCAGCCCCTCCTCTGGAGCACCCAAGCTCAGAGAGGGTGGGAGTTGGGGACCCTACCTCTGGCTTCCTGGAATCCAGAGCAGGGGACAGTGGGGCTGGGGGCAGCAGGACAGTTTGCATTCCCAAAATGGAGTAGACCTTGGGCAGTGCCTCCCAGAGTCCTGGGCTGGGGGACCTCCATCCATTATGGCTTCTTCTCTTTGAGATGGAAGCTGAGTGTCCCCAGGTTGGTCTCCACCCTGTTTCCAAATGTAGGTCTTATTATTATGCAGCTATGGCAAGGCCAACAGATCAGGAGATGACTGCCACTGAAAAGACACTTTGTTACTCACCGATCCCAAGAGGAAGGGCATAACAGGCCATGTGGAGCCACACGGGGAAGCACCAGAGGGTCCATCAGGAGGCAGAGGGAGAGGGAACAACATGGACAGGAGCTTTTACTGTGGTTTCCACTGGAAGGAATGGGTGAGGCAGGGTAAACAGGCTTGGAACTGGCTAGATTGAGTAATTTCCATGGGCTCTGGGGTGTCGGCACTGAGTATCGTGTACATCTCAGCCTATCAATAGCAAGCCTTTCAGAGAGCAGCATCTGAGTACACCTGGGTCCCTACTACTTACAGCAAGGCCCTCACAGACGTTACCCCAGCTAGAGCCAGCACTGTGGCCAGGCCGGCCCTCATGGTTCTTATCATGATCACAGGACGTACTTCAGGAAAAACCGTCAGGGAACTTCGCAGAACAAGATTTGTTACTCACAGGTTCTGGAGGGTACACAGCAGGCACCCCCTCTGAGGGCCACGCAGCGAGATCATGGGGAGAGAGAGAGGGAGGGAACGCAGACCTGGGTCTCTGCCTTTATTAGGGTCCGGGGGTCGGAGTCTCGGATTCACTCTTTATTGAATATAAAGCATAAGAGCTGGAATTAGGGTGCCAAAAGGGAAAGCGGGGTTGTTCAAGGCATCACTTGTCAAGGTTACCTAGGGTTTCTGAAAAGGGGACCTTCCTAGGTTGGGGTAGCTAATAACCAGGTAGGTTGTGTTGCTAGCAGCTGTGTCATGCAGCTATCTGTGTGTTTGTTCATGGTGGATGTTGGCAATCAAAAGCTTAATGTCAGGGACTTCCCTGGCAGTCCAGTGGTTAGGACTCCATGCTTCCCTTGCAGGGGGCACGGGTTCAATCCCTGGTCGGGGAACTAAGATCCTGCTTAATGTCAGGCACTCACACTACACTGGCCCTGGGGTGATCAGGGAAGGGGCACAGTGGCTCTGGATTGGCTGGTATGCATAGGAGAGGTACACTCACTGGTTACTTGTTTGTCATCTCCAGGAACTCGCTAACCCCTCGAGGGACAGCCCCTTCCTGGTCAGTGAGGCCTCAGCTGACAGGGTGTCAAGAATACAGAAACTGGGAATTCCCTGGTGGTCCAGTGGTTAGGACTCCGTGCTTTCACTGCTGAGGGCCTGGGTTCAATCCCTGGTTGGGGAACTGAGATCCTGCGAGCCGTGTGGCGCGGCCACAAAAAAAGAATACAGAAAGTGTAGTTAATACACCCCGTAACTGCTGGGTGATGAGGACACAGCTCTTCTTTGACCTTCATTTTCTTCATCTCCAAATGCGGCGGCCGGGGCCCTGGTAGACCCGGGGGAGCACCCAGGGTCCCACACAGGGTCTCGCAGCTTTGACATCCAGCAAGCAGGGAGCTGGTCCCTGATGACAACATGCTGGGAGAAGATAGATCTTCCTGGGGATGGGAAGGGTGGGAAAGTTCAGCACTGGGGCTCTGCCCGCCATGGGAGGTTTGTTTGTTTGTTTGTTTGTTTGTTTTGGTCCATGCAGTATGTCTTGTGGGATCTGGAATTCCCAATGGGGTTTAGAGTCTGGGCCTCAGGAAGCCTGTTAGGGGCCCGAGTTCTCTGTTGGGCAGCCGTGGGGGCTTGGGAGGTGGGCTGCAGCCAGGATTGGGGGACTTTGACTGACGGTGGACCAGAGGGTGCCCAGCTGCCTGGGGTACAAGGCCTTGCCCTGGCGCCCGCTGGATACCTCCCAGCTCCTGAGCTGGGCCGAGGTTTCCTGCTGCAGAACTGGAACCCTGGTGGGCTTCTTCTAGTTGGCAGGAGGGAGTTATGCCAGAGAGTAGAATTTTCTTGTTTTTAGATTTTTTTCCCCCTTCATTTTTGTTCAGGTATGGACAGCTGCAGTGGGCCAATAGGGCATGTTAGGGGGGTGAGGCCGGTGTCAGACGCCACCTGAGCTGAGGTCTAGGGTCTGGATCTTCCTAGGTGTCAACTGGATTCTCAGTGATCAGTGGCACAAACCAGCCTGCACTGACGGGCTCCAAACAACCACCGGTATATTCTCTTTTGTGGTTCCAGGTTGACTGGCCTGGCTGGTGGCTCTTTGTTTCCCCGTGGATGGTGGCTGCTGGCATCTGGGGGCTGGACTGGCTGGATGTTACCATGTCATTGGATGGTGCCAATGTCATGTCTGGCGCATGGGTGGATGGGGACGCCTCTCCCTCTCTATGTGGCCTCTCTGGACGGCCCTTCCATGTGGGCACCCAAGCAGGACGGCCGCATCCCTTTCCTGGTGACTCGGGTTTCCCCAAAGCGCAGAGCCAGAACCCTTCTAATGCTTCTAATGCTCAGGTCCAGAACTGGGCCAGCATCGCTTCTGCTGCTTTCTGCTGATTCAGCAGGGTCTCAGGTCAGCCCAGGTGTGTGTTGGGGGCACACGTGGGGGCCACACAAGGGCACGAGCACCAGGGAGGCCTAGTTCATTGGGGCCACCATGGGGGCAGAGGGCACGAGCTGGGAATGGGCAGGCTGGAGTGGACGACTCCTGTCCACAGGAGCCAGCTGACTGGCTGTGGGCAGGTGGCTTTGCTGTCTCAGGGCCAGCTTTGTCATCTGCACATTGGGGCAGCCACAGGTGCAAACGCCCATCATGCATGAGCAGGCCGGGTTTCAGCTGCCTTTGTTCTCTCAAGCAGGGTCACCCTGTGCTGCCAGCTGCCCATCCTATCCTATAGGCAGCAAGCCCAGTGACTGGCTTCCAGGAAACTCCAGGGAGGGTCCAGATTGAAAAGGGAGGGATGTTTGGGGAGCCCACAAGGAGGGGGACATGGTCAAGTGGGCACGGGTCCCAGTACCTGGGGAAATTCTGATGGGCCTGAGAAGGGAGGGGATGGAGTGGCGGGGATGTGTGTGGGCTGCAGTGGTGAAGATGGGGAGGGGGGGTCCAGGGTGTGTGTGTGTGTGTGTGTGTGTATGTGTGTGTGTATCTTTATCCAGCTCTCACCATTTCTCTCTTTTTTTTTAATTGGAAAACTCACATAACATGAAATTAACCATTAACTGTTTTAAAGCCTACAATGCATTTAGTACACTTGCAGTGTTGTGTAACCCTCACCTCTATCTAGTTGCAAGACATTTTTATCCCCCCAAAAGGAAACCCCTTCCCCGTTAGCGGTCACTCCTCTCCCCTACCCCCATCCCGGCAACCACAAAAGCCACAGATCCACATTCTGTCTCTCTGGATTTCTGGACATTTTGTATAAATAGAATCATACCACAGGTGGCCTTTGGTGTCTTTCACTGAGCATCATGTTTGCTAGGTTCTTCCCCCAAAAGTCTCCTTGTGCCCCTTTTTTTTACCGCTCCCACCCCTACCACCACATTACCCAGGCAACCACCAACTGGCTCTGACACTGTAGATTAGCTACATTTCTAGAATCATGGAGTATGTACTTTTTTTGTGTGTGTGGGGGGGTCTGGCAGTTTTTACCTGACACAATTATTTTACAATCTGGACATACCATTGCATGTATGAAAAGTGAGCTCGCTTTTATGGCAGAGCTGTACTCCACTGTACGGCTGTTCCACATCCATTTACCTAATTCCTCTGTTGATGGATATCTAGGTGGTTTCCAGTTTTTTATGATTGCAAATAAAGCTGCTGAGAACATTTATGTGTAAGTGCGTTCATCTGCTTTCAGTTCTTTTGGGTAAACTACCCAGGAGTGGAGTGGTTGCATCATATGGTAGGTGTATATTTAAACTCTAAAGAAATCGCCAACATGTTTTCCGAAGTGGATGTACCCTTACTTTCCTTCCCCCCGCCCCAGCAATGTATATATTTTCATCTCCTTGCAGCCTTGGCATGACCTGATGTGAGCAGTCTTTTTGATTTTAGCCATTCTCACAGGTGTGCGATGGTATTACGCTGTACTTTATTATTATTATTTTTTTTTCCCTCTGCGGTATGCGGGCCTCTCACTGCTGTGGCCTCTCCCTCTCCTGTTGCGGAGCACAGGCTCCGGACGCGCAGGCTCAGCGGCCATGGCTCACAGGCCCAGCCGCTCCGCGACATGTGGGATCTTCCCAGACCGGGGCACGAACCCGTGTCCCCAGCATCGGCAGGTGGACTCTCAACCACTGCGCCACCAGGGAAGCCCTATTATTATTATTGAAGTGAAATTCACATAACAGAAATGTAATCTTTTTTTTAAACATCTTTATTGGAGTATAATTGCTTTACAATGGTGTGTTAGTTCCTGCTGTACAACAAAGTGAGTCAGCTATACGTATACATATATCCCCATATCGCCTCCCTCGTGTGTCTCCCTCCCACCCTC